CTCCCCCCCCCCCTCCACCAACCACCTAAAAAAAACAACTATCATCACAAAATCGACTTCTCTAATCGATCAGTCCAAGCAGAGCTCCCTAAAACATTCGGCTGCTGACCACCTAGATTATATAGCCTTCCAAAAATTCACAAAGTAGGTACCCCGCTCCATCCCATCACCTCCACCATTAACTCACTCACCTACAAACTGGCCCGATATCTTTCTGAGACCCTGCTTCCTTTCACGGGCAAGTCCACCTCAGCTGTGCTAAACTCAGCTCACTTGGTTTCTCTAATCAAGGACATCTCACCGTCTCCAGATGATTTTCTTGTTAGTTTCGATGTAGTCTCTCTGTTCACCAATGTACCTGTATTTTACGCCATTGCAATCATTGAAGACTTGGTCCAACAAGGACGGAAATCAGATGTACCAACTTTGGTAAGGCACTGCCTTACCAACACATACTTCACCTGGAATGGTACATTCAACAAACTGAAGGCACCCCAATGGGTTCTCCCTTATCGCCAGTGGTAGCGAATGTTTTCATGGAGAAATTTGAAACGGATGCCATGCAGACATCCACTCTACGTCCTTCCTTGTGGAAGAGATACGTGGATGACACATTCGTCATCTGGCCACATTGCCTGCCAGCACTAAACCAATTTCTCAACCACATCAATTCCATACACCCATCTATCAAATTCACCATGGAAGCGGAAAAGGATGGCAAGCTACCATTCCTGGATGTTTTGATCGAGAAAAGACTTCATGGCTCATTGGGACATTCGGTCTACAGGAAAGCCACCCACACAGATGCCTATCTAAAGCCTGACTCCCACCACCAACCATCCAGCCCAGAAGAATTTCCTCATCAAAACACGACACTTTAGGGCCCTTTGCATCTTCGACCAGCACCACAAAGCCAGTGAGTTGGAGCACGTACATGAAGCCCTCAGGATGAACGGATACTCGGATCGTACAATCCTCAAAGCTGTCTCCCCAGCCATGCGGAGACAACCTTCTGAGGATCCAACCAAAACCATCCCTTTTCCATACATAGCAGGGGTTACATGCTAATTTCTCACATTAACATCACTAGCCCCGGACACACTTCTTTATGACCCTTGGGCTACACCCATTTCAAACCCTTTAAAAGTCTGCCTCAACGGATGCATGTGTTGCGCCCGAAACGTCGTGATTTATTTTATGCCTACGTGACTTTACCGATAGAACGAAAGAGTTTGTGATTTTATTAGTTTACATTGGACCAAGGGCAAAAACAAATAGCGAGTTTTCGTCAGGGGGCTTAGTTTGTTGTATGTGTACTTTGTAGAAACGTAAACCCAACAGTTTGTCAGCTAAAAGTTAAGATAGGCGTACACAGACAGACAGACAAAAAATCACGTTTATTAGGTATGAAAAGACAACATAATTAGCGTTGTGGAGAAAATATCTCCTTTATGTAACATTTCAGTGTTTCCCTTGATTTTACTATATTCGTGATTTCGAAGACGAACACTGAGTTGGGGGATATGGATCCGAAGCTACAAAAAATATCTTTGACCCTGTATCACATGAACAACAGCAGTCACGTAAATGTCCTGCACAGGTTACAGTCAAAACAAACATTCGTCTAGTTAGGACATTCCATTTTTGACCATTTAATACCAAATGGTACTTACAGCAAAATCTCTGCTATCACGTACTTTACCATCGGGAATGCTCTATTAACCGGCATCTGTGAAGCGGCAATATAAATATTACTTCACGTATCGAGAAAAATTCTGGCATCTTGCAGCGTGCTTCATGACGTTGCCGAGTGGTGGCACAAATGGAGTCGCAATCTGCAATCGGCCATTGTGATCGTGTTGTGGGCTGCCTAACCTAATTGTTTCACTGTACTTGTACATACAGTACTGCACTACTGTACACTGTAATCTAAACAGCACCACTGTTTCTCTACAGTAAAATGCTGTATAAATGACTGGTAAGTACCTCTGCAAAATAGTTAATTATTTTGAATATCAGTTAAAATGTATGCTTAATTTCTTCATGAAAAAATGTTTTTACATTTGAATTTTTTTTTTTACATTTGAAAATTTTGCTAAACCATAAAGTATACCTCTCAGACAACCTGCACATTTGATGAACTGGCACCATTGATTCCCCATGGATGCTGGATAAGAGCTTTTGCTGTGTATGCTCAGAATCAAATCATGTGTTAAAATTATAACTTTAAATTATCAAGAGACACATCGCCAACATTCAATAATTGCATTGAAATATACTGCATCACATTACAGCGCATTTACTGTACTGTTGTATATGCTGGGTATGAAAATTTGATTAAAATAATACAATTTAAATGAAATTTGGAAAAATGCGTAATTATCCGAAATCATGTTACTTTATGTAATTATGCACATAAATTATGCTACTTAGAGAGATAATCGTATTAATTTATGCGAATGTGTGCGGCTATACTAATGTACGCAGTTATGATAATTAGGCTAAACCTCATTGTCGAGGGTAGCATTATCAATCGGGATAAGAAAACAAATCGTATGACGTTATGCAGGTGTGCTGTAAGTACGCCAGATTAAACTTTGCTACGTTGTCTAGGTTCGTATTATCAATCGGTATTATACAATTATTCTCACTTTAACATTTACTGATTATGTATGTGTTATGTCAGGTCTCCAAATTCAAATCTCAGCGCAGGATACAGTTCTTATAATTAAGATTATTACGCATGAACGCAGAAAAGAAACTCAAATACTTCTGTGTTAAGCAATTTAAATTTATAAACAAAACCTTAACACTCTAATATGCGAATTCTCATGCTTGAAATTGTCACAGTACTCCAGATGTTCCCGTCATTGATCCATACATTTAACCATCAATGGTCGTTTGTTGACTGGGTAACAGTACAATCGATTATTCCTCAGAGTACGCGAGCATACACGGCGAGAGGAAAAGTCATTAAAAATTCATGCAACCATATTCTAACGAAGGGCAATAAAGAAACATGTCCCGAAAGCAAGAGTAGTTATCAATTAATTCGTTTGTAAGATTATGCAATTAAAAAGAAAAAAACGAACGACTAAAATACTTCTAAATGACCGTATCCACGTAAATTAATGGGCAGCAATGTTCTTCACGATCAGTTGATATTTAATGCACCAACTTGGAATGGCAACCCTTCTTGAAACAAAAAGATACTTTTGGAACAATCTTATTTGACCCGATATGTGTGTTGTGTCTTCTTTGCCACTTGTTCAATTCATCGCGTAAAGCAGACGCCGGGCGATGCGTCATGAGGGTGTGGGTGAGGGTCATACAAACGGCTTCGTTGCTTTTTCTTGCTCGGGGCGTCGGCTTAGCTGCCCGTCCGCTGGCAGATACAGGCTCTTTCCACTGCTGGAGTAGCTGCGTTGGCACGTTGCTTGTCCTTGAAGATGCTCGATCACGCTTGCCGCTGGTCCGCTGGCAGCAGCAGGCTCCTTCCAAAGCTGTAGGAGCTGCGCCGCACGCGCTCCCTCCTTGAAGATGCTCGATCGTGCTCGCCGCTGGTCCGCTGACAGCAGCAGACTCTTTCCACTGCTAGAGGAGCTGCGTTGCACGCGCTCCCTCCTGCCCTGTGCTCTTTGTCGATGCCCGATTGCGCGTGCAGTTCGTTCGCTGGTGGCGGACACCCTTGCTCGGTGGAGCTGCTGGTGGGAGCTGGCACTCAGGATAGAATGACTTGAGCGATACTTCTTCCGTCAGCTCTAAACTCGTGTTCGATGACACATCGCTACTCGGCAAGTCTCCCCATCCCTGGTTGATTGCAGAGTCTCACCCCGGAGCTTGCCGCTCGCTGCCCTCTTCTGTCGCTCGCCGAGCTGAATTGTCGAGCTCAGCACCTAACATCACCTCGCCCCTCTTCTCTGCGAGACACAGCACCCATTGCTAATGTCTCGAGGCCATTCCCCGAAGCTGGCTTGCTGTCCCTTGCCGAGCTGCTGTCTTCTTGTCGAGCGGATGGTCGCTGTCTACTTCCGCTGGTATCTGGGATGTCGCTGAATTGTTGAGCTGAATTGTCGTGTTGCTGTTTATATCCGAAAAAATCTCCCCTATGCGTGTCTCTTGCGAGAGGAAAAAAAAAGATGCTTACTCCGTCTGCTCTCTCACAAAGGACCGGAATTCCTTTGATCTCGCTGTATTGTGGGGGGGTTGGACGTGTGTCCATGTTTTTTTAATTTGACTTCATGACTGACTCTTTCTGGTGGTGGAAGGGGAGGGTGGCATTATCTTTGCGAGGGTGACGACAGCTGCTCAAAAAGGGGCGGGGGGGGGGGTTCCATTTGTTTGTGCTCCCAGGGCCCCGTGAGTGATTAAAAAAAATATCGGCAAAATCATTAATATCAATTTTGGAAAAAGGCATAAATACAACAGTACACTGATCTTTGAATGGATGCCTACACATGCATGCATTCTTAGAAAGCGAGAAGCCAAGTGATAGCACGGTTGATATTTGTTAAGAGGTTCAAAGTTCACATCTGTCCGGCAACCCTCATGATTACTGCAGCAATAGACCAAAAATCTTAACAGTGGATGTTCAACATTCATGGTGTCAGGGTCAAAATTTGCCAGATTAGAAAGATTATCCACAAACGACCCGACTGGGGTTACAGATTAATCATCGCTCCACCCAACTGACAGGCTCATGTACACGTGCAGGTCGGTATTGAGTCACCTTCTACCACAAAGGGACAGCTGCCACTTGGGCTAGCCGTCAAATGATTGAGATGAAATATGATACAAGCCGCTTGTAGTTGCTGAAGCATTTCACCTTTGATTAGCAAGATTGGCTACGTAGTGAGAAAGAAATAACACATTAATGTAAGCGCCAATTATTAATATAAATATTATTATAAACACGTTGAATGCTGTGGAGCTTTTTTGTCTCCCGCTCCTGCTTACAGAACTACCCAACCTCCAAGTCCACATATGCTGGCCGCTCCTACTCTGCATCCTCCAAAAAGTCCACCTCCACAAACTGCTGGGTTTCAATTCACGCTCTCTCAGTCCGCAGCCTCCTCCAGCTTTAGGCTGCCTCTATTGACCACTTGGAGGTTAAACCCTTGCAATTAGAAAGGCACAAATCTGGCTGTCACCTGATGAAGCTAGTTGTAATGACTGGCGAAACGTCACTCAGATTGTAAATGTTGTGGCTTGCCTCTCCAACACACACATGTGCTGTGCTAGTGATGAATTGGCATGTTCTGTTTACGTGACAACCCTTACTAGTTGGCTGTGTCGGGTGGTGGCGGGTTTTAATGACACATTTACATATTTACGCGATCTAACCCTAAAATCCTCTATTATGGGAAAGGCCTGTGAATGGATTGGAACTTCGTTATCCTAAGCTCAATGATGCACATCTACTTGGTCTCCATTTGACTCAGTATGGCCTAAAAAATCCACCCACACCTCCACATCCACAAATTGCTGGGAGTTGCCTCGCTCTGCCTCAGAGTCCACAGTCTCCTCCAACTTAACGCTGCCTCGATCAACGTGAAGGTCGGATTTTGGAGTTGAATCTTCATCCTCACATTTCACTATCACTTCTTCAGACTTTACTGTCACTTCACTTTTCACCTTCACTGATTCAAGTTTTATTTTCACTTCTTGACAATTCGCCGTCACTCCTGGCCACGTTTCATATCTCAAATGTTTTTCTGGTTCTTGTTTCATGAGGGATGGACTCATTGCAGCACTTTGACTTTCACAAGCCGATTTCAGATAAATTTCCTGATGAATGGTTTGATGCGTGTTTCGATCCCCTAACTGTCGAAAACCCTTCCCCCCATACACAGTGCACTTTAAGGGTTTTTCTCCTACGTGTGTTCGCTGATGGTTTTTAAGATATGTTGACAGTGAAAATTCCTTCCCACACACAGTGCACTTGAAGGGTTTCTCTCCCGTGTGTGTTTGCTGGTGTTTTTTAAGATATGTTGACAGTGAAAATTCCTTTCCACACACAGTGCACTTGAAGGTTTTCTCTCTCGTGTGTGTTCTCTGGTGGCACTGAAGAATTGATGAATATGCAAACGCCTTCCCACACACAGTGCACTTGAAGGGTGTCTCTCCTGTGTGTTTTCTCTGGTGTGTTTTAAGATGTGATGACTGTTCAAAGGCCTCTCCACACACAGTGCACTTGAAGGGTGTTTCTACTGTGTGTATTCTCTTGTGTGTTTTAAGATGGGATGACTTTGCAAAGGCCTTCCCACAAACAGTGCACTTGAAGGGTGTCTCTCCTGTGTGACTTCTCTGGTGTATTTTAAGATATGATGATTGTGAAAATGCATTCCCACACACAGTGCACTTGAAGGGTTTCTCTCCCGTGTGTGTTCTCTGGTGGCCCTGAAGCTTTGATGACCGTGCAAATGCCTTCCCACACAAAGTACACTTGAAGGGTTTTTCTCCCGTGTGTATTCTCTGGTGTATTTTAAGATATGATGACTGTGCAAAGGCCGTCCCACACACAATGCACTTGAAGGGTGTTTCTCCTGTGTGTATTCTCTGGTGTCTTTTAAGTCGTGATGACTCTGCAAACGCCTTCCCACACACAGTGCACTTGAAGCGTGTTTCTCCTGTGTGTATTCTCTGGTGTGTTTTAAGATGGGATGACTTTGCAAAGGCCTTCCCACAAACAGTGCACTTGAAGGGTGTCTCTCCTGTGTGACTTCTCTGGTGTATTTTAAGATGCGATGACTGCGGAAATGCCTTCCCACACACAGTGCACTTGAAGGGTTTCTCTCCCGTGTGTGTTCTCTGGTGGCCCTGAAGAGTTGATGATTGTGCAAATGCCTTACCACACAAAGTACACTTGAAGGGTGTTTCTCCTGTGTGTATTCTCTGGTGTGCTTTAAGACCTGATGACTGTGCAAAGGCCTTCCCACACACAATGCACTTGAAGGGTGTTTCTCCTGTGTGTATTCTCTGGTGCCTTTTAAGAGGTGATGAGTCTGCAAACGCCTTCCCACACGCAGTGCACTTGAAGGGTTTCTCTCCCGTGTGTGTTCTCTGGTGGCCCTGAAGATTTGATGACCGTGCAAATGCCTTCCCACACGCAGTGCACTTGAAGGGTTTCTCTCCCGTGTGTGTTCTCTGGTGGACCTGAAGAATTGATGGATGTGCAAACGCCTTCTTACACACCGTGCACTTGAATGGTTTCTCTCCTGCTGATTGTTTTCGCTCCATATGACCAATTCTGTCCAGCAAAGTGGCAGAGGAACTGGCAGCTGCAGACAGAAAACAGTAAAATCCACGCAATGTCAGCTTAGAAGCATAGAAATGCATATGTATACAGTCACACGTGATATTCACATATTACATGGACAAGAACACTCAAACATTAACGAGAAATACAAAAAAAAATCACCCTCAAATTGATCACACAGGCTGTTTTACGGCACTTGCTCCTATTGACAATCAGCTGTTGGCCTGCCATAGTAAGGCAAGTGGTCAGTATAATGCCTGGAGGCAAGTGGTCAGTATAATGCCTGGAGGCCCAAGTATATTTAATATCAATGATAACCCGTAACTCTACGTACAGAATTTCGGTTGTATCTGGCTATTGAGGAAATGTTAACTATTGCAAAAGTCTCATAAAAATAGCAAATAGTGTTAAAAATTAAACTATTCACATTAGGAATAAATATTATAAAATGGACAAAAAATGTTCAATCGCAACTTATAAGTCCGAAGCCAGGCTTAGATTTGATTGAATGCTTGGATGAACAGATGTAATTTCAGCTTCATGTGCTGTTTTCCATGCTTATGAAACGTTCCATGTTTCGGGGACTGTACAAGAGAAGGTTCCAGAAGGCGCGAGTTGTGTTGATTGGAAACAGCAGACGGGAAGGCATTGTAAGCATTATTCAATTAAGAACACACATGTTATAGTAAAGTGAGGGGGGGGCGTGCGAGTATATAAGGGGAAGCAAGGCCCGCGGTTGGGGCGCTTACTCGGGGACTGATTCACGACCAGAGGTGGACGACGGTGGGGCTGACTGTGGAAACCATCGGGGTTGACTGTTCATGTATCAACTAGGTGGAAACCGTCGGGGCTGAAGATAGCCATAGCGATTGCGAGGGTGGCAGTCGTTACACTTGGACTGTATATACGTTCGGAGAAATAAAGCTCTACTCCTCTGAAAATGGATGTCTCCATGGAGGTTATTTAACACATGTAATAGAAAAACTTAATTTCTTTGATTAAACCTAGGCGTATAATATGGTCAATATACTTTACAGCAAAAAAAACTTTATACTCTCACCCACTGGAACAGTGAAGGTGGTGGTGTTGTGGCTAGAACCATGCCTGGCTGCCTTCATCTGCTCAGTACAGATGCTTATACTCTTCACCAAGTACTTAACCTAGGAACAATCAATCCAGCAGAGGCCTACAATAAGTTAAGCTATCACTTGTCAATCATGTCTGCTGTCAGCAATAATACAACTCTGAATGTTGGCTCCATAATGCAGTGGACGAACAAATGTGCCTCCACTCCGCATGTAGATAGACTCTTACATGCAGATTTGTTTCACATGGATCATTAACAGATTATATAAATAAAACAGCTACCATTCACCACTAATTGGTAGTAACATCATTACAGTGGTCATGCCATGATAGGTGCGAATTGAGGCCATGTAAGTGTGGAGCAATTGCCAGTAGGTCATGGGAATTATCCAGGTATCAAGGGATGACTGAGATGACTGGCAGATGCATCACCTGTGTTACCCACTGTGCCAACTTGCTGCATTTTAGCCACCCAGCGCTCCACCAATTGATGTGTCACTCCTCTGACCTCGTTGTTGTAGGGTGAATGCCTCCAACTACCCTGCAGCATCCTTCACGGGCCTGCTCCGCAGAGGTCGATCTTCTAAGCAAACGGGATTCATGACCAACGAATGCAGCCTCGCCTGCCAAAGAGGCTCACTTGTGGTCAGAATGCAAACAAAAAACACTGATAATATATGCACTGTCCTGGAAACTGTTTGGTCCACACCAGAGACAGCTTTCTTTTGAGCCTAGTCTCAAAACGGTGTTAGACCCGAGGAGGCCAAAAGGCGCAAAAAGGCGTACGGTGAGTGGGAATCAAACTTGTGTTACCTGGTTCGTAGTGCAGCGCGCTGTAGGTTACATGACCATTCGCCACTAAGTGAGCTCTACCAGCATGAGTGCAAAGGAACATACACCGACTGACTGCAGAAGCTTCTGGTCAAATTGCCTCCTCTCCCAGTTCCAGAGAAGGTTTTTCCCACGCATTGCAAATGTCACCAACCACAATATTCTGGGTTCGCCACTCTGGTAAAATGAAGCGGCCACTCTGATTAGTAAAACAATCAGAGATATACTTAAGTCAATATTTAAAACTCACCTCTGTAAACTGGTCTTCATCCTCCCCTAGTTTTGCCGTTTACCTGAGCGAGTGGGTGAGTGATTGGGTCACGGAATGGGTGAGTAGTTGACTTGTTGAGTAGGGAGTGGGTCATCCAGTGAGTGAGTGATTGAGTTAGTGGATAAATGAAGCTTTGCCCGCCCTTGAGTTTTGGCTGTTTACACTGCAGGATGTGTATATTTTGTACTTTATATACACGGCACGGATTGATGGGATCCACGGATGAAATGCAGCACTTCACAAATGTTAATAATTGTATTATTAATATTGCAGGCATATTATACACACCAACATGCAACATATGCTGCCATATAGAAATTAAAGTAATTATTTCTCGCGTTATTTTTCATGAGTAGACTGGTGTCATGGTTTAAATGTATGATACAACTATTTTGATGAAAGAAGAAAAGGCTTCAACCTTTTCGGCAATAAGGCAGGTGTTAAGATCAGAATCTTTAAAATCAGAATCTGTCTTCTGGAGGAATGTCACAGGTGTCCAGTCGAGGTGGGTCAGAAAGTTACAAAAACAAACATGGTTGGATACGTACGGTGTGAAAGAAGTTCAACATACAAAAAACGATAGGAGTGCAAAATAGATGAAAGGTAAGCATATTCTTGGTTCTTTCGGTAAAGTCACGTTGAAGGGAAACAAAACAATAAAACAAATATATAAAACAATAAAATTATCACGACGTTTCGACTGCAACACAAGCAGTTATCATCAGGTGTGAAAACCAACGGCAAGAACATTTGAAAGAAGTGGCGGTTTGTATCAATTTATTTAAATATTTCTAAACGTTAGCACCACGGAGAGCGATTTGAAACGTCGTGAGAATTTTATTGTTTTATATATTTGTTTTTTTTGTTTTGTTTCCCTTCAACGTGACTTTACCGAAAGAACCAAAAATATGAATCACTGCAGTCAGGAAAGCATTAAATCGAAAGGTAAGCAATTCACGAAAAAATAAATAGAAATGAATAAAGTACATAGTCCAATTTGAAAACAGATACCTATTGCAAGGCAGCATTAAGTCTGAGTCAGTGGATGGATGAGTGAGCGAGTTATAGAGTGGGTGGGTGGATGAGTAGACGAGTGGATGGATGGATAAGTGAGTGGGCCAGTGAGTGAGCTCAATTATAATTAAATGCTTTGATGTCTGCCGGCTGAGTCGCCCTTGAAAATAAGCTTATTAGTTCAATGGACTGCACTCGGAAAATAAACTTATTCTGACTCTGAAATAAACTTCTGGACTGGTATCGTCCAAATATTGCAATGCTGAACAAATGCCTCCAGTTTACTCAATCGGGAATACGCGAATAAGCATCGCCCCTCCCCCCGACTGCCAAACCAACTCGGCAGGACGCTCCTTAACTGAAGTAAAGAGACTCAGTGTGATAAAGCACTCGAGTGTGCACCACGCTGGCGAGATTTGCACTACATCGCCCGGTATACAGGAGGTTGTGGGTTTCATCCCGACGCTGACGCGTGTTGATTTGGAGTTTGCGTGTCTCTCTTTCTGCGTGGTCGCATTTAGAGTATTTGGCTGATGTAAATTTACACACAAGCCATTTCGTTGTGAGCAGGTCGCTTCTGAAAGATATATAGCTCAAAATAGTATAATTTGTTTTTGTTTAAAACATGGTTTTCAAGTAGTCAGCCAGGTGAGGACAAATAAAAATAAACAAAAATCAAAGCAAATACAATCAGGCGATGGCAGGAGGCAAGCCCAGAATGGCTAGGCCACACTTTGTAACGTTCCAACCTGGACATCTATTCCATACTCGCTGCTACACTCAATTGAGATCCCCAGGAGAACAATCGAAGAAGCGAGGCTGCACCTAAATAAACAACAACCACCACCAAAAACCACGACCTCCACCACGATGTGAACTTCTCACCTCGGATCCCAGTTGAGTGGCGAGCAGCTTTCCGGGATTTCGTGACGTCACGCGGTTTAACGCGGCAGGGGAGATGACATGACGTCACTAGCGAGTTTACCCCTCCCACTTAACAGATTATGTTAAAGAGCCCGGCCCTGACATTGAGTGATTGGGCGTGGCTGCTGAACCAGACATAGTGAACTCGCGACAGATTTAATGCTTAAAGTAAATTAATGAAGCAGGCCCTTATGGGGAGTGATTGCGCGTGGCTTTGCCCAAATTATTATTTTACTGGTGACATGACGTCACTAGCGAGGTACACATGCCCTGCCGTCTCGCGACAATGACGTCACGTGGAGTGGTAAAGTGAGAGCGAGCACGGTGAAGAGTGATATTAGAGTTTAAGTTATTCTTTGTTTTTTTTCGGTTAAGTCACGTAGAAATAAGAAATAATAAAATTACATAATAGCGTACGACGTTTCGATTGCAACACAAGCAATCATCATCAGGTACAGAAGAGCTAAATTTACGAGAGAGAGACACACATAACCGCAGATATATATACAGACACAGATACAGCAGGGGATACAGAGAGAGATAGACGGGAGGAGCACACGAAATCAAACAAGGTTTAGCAAAATTTGGAAACCATATAACGCAACACAGACGGTCGGTCAAAACGCAATTAACGCATGGTCTGGTTGATTACGCTATTTCAAAGATTGCTAAATTGCAAGTTAAGTGTTAAATAAAAAAAACTATACAGGCCGCATACACATATATAGAAATCCAAGCAGAACGAGTTAGCACAGAGGCACATGGAGAGAGGCAAGCACACAGTGATCTCTGTGTCAAGGTCTTAAATCGACAGAGAAGGCGGGGCTGAGATGCAA